AAGTTATCGCGAGTTAAGTTTAAATAATATATTTTCCGAGATATTTTCTTAATTTTAAATGTTTTTGTTTTTTTATCTCGTAAACTAATAAAAAAACTATTATGTGGAATTTTTAAAATTCATTTTTATCAATTTTTAATTGCCAAGTTTTGCGCAAGGTATCACTGGGGTAGATCGAGGTGAGGTGAAAAGTGCCCTATTTTGGTTCATCCTTCGAACCCCCGAAACGGAGTTTTTAAACTTTATTTATCGATTATCCTTTTAAAGATATAGGTCATTGACAGTTTTCTGTGGGACATTGTATATAAAATGAATATTATCCTGTTCTTACAAGAAATGGGATTTGAAGAACGCCAAAGAGAATATAATTAAAATACCTTCTCGCAGACCATGTATGGTAGCCGAACTTATTATAAGTATTTTTTTTTATTTTTCAATGATAAATTTATACTCAAATCAAAACAATTAAAACATTTATCATTGTTTTTTATTGTTAATAGTATATTATGTATCAAGTTTTATAAATGCCATTTTAGTTACAAGTTTTAGGCACGAGGTGGCCTTTATTGATTAAATGGATAGAGTATAATTGTTAAGTTACTTTGTTTTAAGATATTTTTTAAGATATTTTTTTTTATATTTTACTGGTTAAAGTTATTAAATTTGTATAATTAACTTTTACTATTGACATTTAGAAATCGAATGAACGAGTAGACTGTAACGTTAACTGTATTTTTTCCTGGGCATAGATGATTCATTTAATACCTACTTCCTGATATGGGTTTATTTATTTTCCATTTTGCTACATTCGAACTTAAGCCCGCTGCACAACAGCCCGGTAACGGGAACGGGAACCTAAACGGTTAAGGTGGGAGAGACTTAGCGAACCCTATCTATCAATAGTGTTTTTTTAGTATCTCCCACCTTTAATGTTAAGATTCCCGTTCCCGTTACCGGGCTATTGTGCAGCGGGCTTTAGTATGTCTCTAAGTCTTAGGTATGTCTGTATACATTAAAATGATCTGTAAAAATGCCTAGTATTTAGTGGCTGGACGATTATCGAAATTCATAATCGATTATTGATTATATTAAATAATCGTTTTTTTCGATTAATTGATTAATCGATTTTTTGATTAATCGATTTTTTCATTAATCGATTATTTGATTAATCGATTATTATTTATGCGATTATTTGATTAATTGATTAAATTATTAATTGTCTTTTGTTTTTATTACTTAGGGGACATCCATTAATTACGTGACGCATTTTTCTGATAATTTGGACCCCCCTCCCCCTTAAGGGACATCTCACCAAATCTCAACAATTGGTGAGATTTGGTGAGATGTGCTAGACCCCCCCTATCCCTCACGTGAAATTTTAGCCATGGAACTTTCTTTATAATAATAATAATAATAATAATAATAATTAACATGTAATTTTTATTAACAAATTTGAATTATAATACATATTTTTTAAACTCAAAAGTTGACGTGAGATTTTAAATGACCCCCCTCCCTTAAAATGAGATTTGGTGAGATTTTGCTGGACCCCTCCCCCATTTTTGTCTCACGTAATTAATGGATGTCCCCTTATGACCTACATATATTATGCATGCAATACAAGTTTAAAATTTTTAGCAGCATTTTTAAAACCCAGCATAAATAATAAAAATGCATTATCTGAAAAATCACTATTTTCATTTTGTTTAGTTAAAAAAATGCTCAATTGGTCATATTATTTCTATTTACACATTTGATTGTTTTAATTGTAACAATTAATTATAATAAATATTACGATTAGATATTAGGTGTTCTTTATTTAAAATAATAAAAATTAATAATAATAAAATAATCGATTAATCAAATAGTCGATTATAAATAATCGATTAATCGTTTATTTTGCCCACCCCTACTAAATACACATTGCCTTATTATATGGCTTATATTAATTAATTAAACAAATGATTAAGGTATAAATTGCTTTTGGCGGGAAGCACGGAGTTCACCAATTTAATAATATGCGATAAATTTTGAATTTATTAGATTTTTCTAAAATCCCTGTACACGTGGACACTTTGGCGGCAGATATTGGCCGTTGAACTTGAACTCTTAGCACAAAGACTCCAGGTGTATGTATCTTGCAAAGACTCCTACGAGTGTATGCACATCTTTTAGGCGAGCCTATTATATTGTACTTACAATTCCAAAGAAAAAAGCTATTTAATTTAAATAAACTAAAATTTAAATCAATACGATTTTGGCACTGCAATGTTTGTCTGGGCGATTATGTTAAAAAAATGTTAGGAATCGATACATATTCTTGATCACGTATAGAGCGTTTATTGATTGGTGCATGTCTCCCCTTGCGTATAAAGTACACCTCCAATTTATTTTTATGGTTTTTATTAGCATAACTTAGAGGTGGATTAAATTGAGTAATACTCAATGAGTATATAAATTATATAAAAAAACAATAATAAATCTATTTCTCGTAAATAATGTCGGCCTCGCTTTAATTTAACGCTTAAATGTTCATCTTCATGTCCTTCATTGTAACAAAATGCTATCTAATTAATGCGAGTTATTTGCATTACGTCGACAATCGGTCTAGACTAACTCTCCACATTTGGAGACACATCAAAGACAAATACGGCAAAAACAATAATCTTTATATACCGAGTGATTAAAATCAATAAAACCCTTGAATTGAAATACATTTGCTATGTATTTACTTTGTGGTTATTTGGGTAAAAATATTGCCCTTACATTAAGGGGACATCTATTAATTACGTGAGACAATAATTGGGGAGAGGTCCAGCAAAATCTCACCAAATCCCATTTTAAGGGAGGGGGGTCATTTAAAATATTCGTCGTCAACTCATGAGTTGATGAGTTTAAAAAATATGTATTATGTATTAGTTTAAAAAATATGTATTATAATTCAAATTTGTAAAAAAAACAACCTTTTTTTACCTGTTGTCTGCGAAGAAACTTTAATGGCTAAAATCTCACGTGAGGGATAGGTCTAGCACATCTCACCAAATCTCACCAAGAGGGTGGGGGGTCCAAATTATTAAAAAAATGCCTCACGTATATAATTGAAATTTATGGAGTGTAATTTAACATGATGTTTCTTTATGAGGTAAGAATTTGAGCACCCGTATTTTTTATCGACAATCATCAATTCATTGACTTAAAAAAGGACAAATTTAGTGATCGTTGGCGAAAAGTACCTACTTTAAGCACTTTGTGTTTTGATTTGGTGTTGGAAAATATTTATAATATTTGTATAATTCATTGAATGGAGAAATTTGGTACCCAAAGATGTTTTTAAAATATAAACATGATTAAAATTGGCATGTATGTGACTATTTTAAGTGAATGTACTTAACATGAAGTTTATTTTTATAAAATTATATTGTTTCTCCTTTCAAGCAGATTCTAAAAACGTTTTGTTAAAAAAAATATTATTTAATTCATCGCGATTAAGGAAAGCATATTAAAGCAGATATTCAAAATATAATATAAGCAGACATTTTTAAAATGGAAAATTGAAAACTGTGGAATTACCTAAATAATAATTTGCAAATTAGGCTCTTATTAAAAATTTTGATGTAGCATACGGAAACGCTGTTCTTATGTAGCTTACGTCTTAATTGGACGTACACGAATATGGTGCCGTAAAGCAATAATTGCTTTTTTTAAACGGTTAATTTGCACCGTTGCATTTTCGAAGAAAATTAATTTATAATCATGTTAATAATATAAATTCCAGATAACATTGTAATACACATTTTCCTGTAGGATTTATATTAAAATACCTATAGACCTTAATTAATTGTAAATTGCATTTAGGAATTAACAAGCTTTAAATTGTTTAACATTTCAATTGTTTAATGTATATCTATTTTTGGATTTATGATCACTTTCAATTAAGGAGACGCTGTTATTCCCGCTTAACGTTGATTTTAAGTGGTTTCACACAATCCTTTTCATTTATTTCTTTATAGCATTTCATAGCGTTGACAATGTGTTTAATGGTTTGGGGCATTTAACATTTTTGTTTTTTGTTTTCTATCTTATTATTAGCTTATTATATTAGGAATTTTTTTTTTTATTTTTATATTATCGGATTATAAAATTATACCTAATTAAATTATTGTCCATAAAGTTTAAAGTATTGATTTTCTATTAGAGTAAAATATTATTAGTAATTGAAATATTGACTTCCCAACTCATTCATGCACAACAAATTAAGAAGAAAACAGTTACTTTGATAATTACTAATAATTAATTACCTATACATTTTAGTATTTTATAAGTAAACCAGAATAATCTTAAATAAGAAGTACACATTTTAGTATTTTATAAGTAAACCAGAATAATCTTAAATAAGAAGTACACATGCTTCATTAATATAAATTGATTTTCTATTTTTTATTTACTACTACTTCTTAATATGATAGGGTTTAATTAGCATATAGGTACTTAAAATAAACGGCGGTTATGGACAGGGCAATAATAACCCTATGCAAATATGCTTTCAACAAACGTCTAGAAAACTAAAATAATTTTTAAAACCTTGCTCAACTTATTAACCTTTAAATTTTGGCATTAATGATCTTTTACATTTAAAGGGGTAAGAAGCAAAAGGGTACAAGTGCAAAAAAGAGAAGTGAAGTTATTAACTTTTAAAGTCTTTGCTAGGTATATACAAAAATCTGGATACTTGTTTCAATCTGAAATTGGCAAAATGTTTTAAAATATAGGTATGAAGAAGACTATTTAATCTTCTTGATTTAGCAATTATTTATATTAAATCGTGGAATGTTATTTGACCTTTTTGAATTTATAATTTATGTGAACCCTGATGATACAACTGGTATTTAAAAATACAAACAAAAACAAATTAGTCTTTCATTTATCGTGTGATAATTTAATATTATCTGATAAGTAAACATTAAAAATATACAATATTTCAATTTTTATTAAATCCCTACCTTAAAGAGTTTAAATGATATCCAAAACAAATAAATATTCACTAATTTGTAGATATAGAACACTATAAAAACTGATCACGTTAAATCACTAATCGTAGTTATTTACTGCCATGTACTTATTTAAATTTCACGTTAGCGCCTGCCTTCAAAACCAAGCTTTCGTAACTATGGCTAGTGGCGGACTGTGCCGGTAACGGTTGCCGGAGTCTAAAGCTTTCGCGCTTACGTCATGCAACGTTGTCTACTTTTCAAAATTTCACCGATTTCATGTTTTTACAAATGTTTAGATTATCTTATTTTAACACTTTTTTGTAAACAATGTGTCTGCAATGGCGTGAAGAACGGGCCCCGCAGGGCCGTTGGTGCGGGGGCCCTCTAAATATTCACGTCATAACCTAGTAAAAGTTCATTTTATGCGTTTTAAAAATTTAAAAATATTACCAATTTAACCCTTAAGCCTAATTTATAGATTGCCTTCCTTCCTTCCTCCCGTAAAAGATGAACAATACAAAAACCGTAGTGCTGTTTATAGATTCCCGTACGGGAGGAAGAAAGGAAGGAAGGAATGAAGGCAATCTATCAATCAGGCTTTACAGTCCAAGTTTTGACGTTTTACCTTTGACATAACTAGATATGTAAAAACAAGTTTTTTAGATGAAAAAAAAGGTTTTTTGTTTTTTTCATTTTTTTAAACCAAAACAAAAGAATTCATTTAAATAGAAATAAATGTTTATTTATTTAAAGTGTTTGTTTTTTTTATTAATTTAACCAAATCATCAAGATCGAATAATTCTGGACTCGCTCATGATTTAAACCTATTTCGAATCGAAATCGAAATTTTCGATCTACGAAATATTACTCTCTAGATGAGTTAAACTATGCCGTTCGCTTGGGGTTTCAATACCTTAAGGATTTAATAGCTTGTTAAACTATAGAACCAGTGGCGGATTTACAAATTTTCAAGGAATAGGCTGAATAGTTTTTGCCGCCCTTGCCTCAACAATTCGCGGGTTGAATATTATATTGTTCTATCAGCAATTTTGGCGGAAAATGAAATTTTTAAATGAAAATGAAGGTTTAACGAAAATCTATCTATCTAAATAAGTATCACTGTTAAATATAGCCCAGAAATATTTTGTTCTATGTGCGAAATTCAAATATAATTAACTATTATAATGTTCTAACAAACCAATCAATTAAATTGGCAGTTTAAGGAATTACGTCGTAGGTTTTTGGTGATTTAAGTGATTATTTTATTTAAAAATAAATGATTTCGTAAGTACAAAAATACAATATTATAATAAAATAGTTATAAAATACCCAAATAAAACTTAATAATAATTTATAAGTGATTTGTGCCCTAAACTTAAACGTAGCTACTAACAGAACATTATTAGCTTATTTCTACGAATTTGTTTGCTTTAAAACATGCTTTTAGAACTTTTTTTAAACTACATTTTTTGGTTGCTGTTCAACGTGCAGACGTATTCGAAAATAATCATTTTGTGCATCAAATTGAATACTTTGAAGATAGTGATAATTCCTGTGCAGATCCAGATTATGTGGCTTTAGATTCAAATGAAGCAGTATTGAAATCACATGCAAAATGTGGTAATATAGGTAAATCCTAGTCTACTTTTTTATAATTTTGTATTGGTTTTTGTTTTGTTTTTAGACCTGAGTATGGCGATGTATTTTCACCAATATTGATACCAGATATTCGCAATGCACCTGAACTAAAAAAATGTCTCCTGTCTTTTGCTAAAGTTGCTGATCTAACCAAATTATTTAAGTTTATGCCGCCTGTTGATGTAATTTTTAAAAAACTTTTTTTAAACAACTTAATAATGCTGCTGTATTTGCAAATGAGAAAAAAAGACAATAATTAGTTGTTAAGTTGAGTTATCATAAATAATTTGTATTACTTAAGCCTTGTTTTTTTTGTAAGAGTAATTTTTCACCCTATACTGTTAGAACATTTTGGAACGTTTTGTAAAATTTTGAAAAATAATAAAACAAAAATGTTCTATTAACAATTGTTTGATTATTATTATTATTATTATTAACATTTTTAGTTAACCAAAATACTAAAATTAAGTGCACTATCACTATGCACTAGCTTACTCGCGTTAAGTACAAAATATCTTTACAAACTTCAATAATATTAATATTCGAAATTTGAAAACTTGATTTTCAAAAAATTAGTTTTATTCTATTAGAACAATATAATATTCAACCCACGAATTGTCATATCATACATTATTTTTACAATGCAACAATTTCGTTGAAATTGCAAGTAAAATAATTTTTCGGTATATTTTTGAGCTAATCGAAGCTCAATCATGTATGGGCGGGGTAATTTATGCTATTTACACAATAATGAACATTTGGTAAACGTGAATAAATAATCTTTATTGCGCTTTCAAACAGTTAAAAATAATCGACTCAGTCAAGTCGGAATTAATGACCAAGATTACTTACGACGAAATAGAAGTTCGTTACAATGCCTTTTTGCGCGATTTTTTGTTGTCAAAATCATCGATGATGTCGTCGTAAGTAATCTTGTTCATTAATTCCGACTCTATGCACAAAGATTTTTTTTGAATTCCAATCGAATTTTCTGAAGCTACTAGTACATGTGAAACACATAATAGTCGATACATAAAATTGAAATCGCTAAAATTATTCACTAAATTATTCATTATATTCGAATAAAAATCGAAAAATTATATACAAACCATCCAGTTCGTAGCCTCCAACCAGTAGTAAGACTGGCGTGTATGGGTTGTTAGTGGGAAGAGGGGCATATTTTTTACAATTTCGCTCTTTTCACTCATAAGAAGTGTGGGCAAAGGGCGCAGAGGCGAGAGGCCGATAACTGGTTGAGGGGCGGCGAACTAGCTGTTTTACTCTAGAATATGGAAGTTTGCTACTCTCCCCAGATAACAATTATGACATCATTTAAGACATCAACGTGAAATCATTGCTGATTCATTCAGTGATGTCACTGAGTTACGCATATGTGTTCCCCTTTTGATGAGCAACATGATATCCTTAATGAGTCACACGATGAATTCGTTGTGACATCAACGTGAAATCATTGCTGATTCATTCAGTGATGTCACTGTGGCACGCACAAGTGTTGCACTTTTGATGAGCAACGTGAGATCCTTAATGGGTCACACGATGAATTCATTATGAAATCAAAGGGATGAATTAATTTCACAAATGATCTCATCAAGAACTCAGGATGAGCTCAGCAATGATTCAGCTAATGAGCTCCAGGTCAGGTCCAGGTGAATTCACAGAAATGCATTTGATGTCATAGTGAGTTCACTGTGAGCTCACGCGATGATTATCACTGAGTGATTATTTAATGATTCATAAATGTTATCTGGATCGGAATGTGCAATGACAAGTGAGAGAGAAAAGTCATCGACAAAATTTGTTGCAGACTTCTATCTGTAAGACATCAGAAAACCGTCATAGAAAAATCTTTTTGATTTCTATGAGGTAAAAAAAAATCGTTCCCCAAATTTGCCGCCCCCAAAATCTGCCGCCCTAGGCTCGAGCCTACTCAGCCTGCTGGTAAATCCGCCACTGTATAGAACGCCGTTTTACTATTTAATCAACATTTAAAAGCAAATAATTGTCATTTTCTATAGTGACCGTAATAAAATACCACCAAACCTTAATATTTTTATCAATAATCAGATATTGTACAAAACTTTTTAGTAATTGTTTGTTTGCAGCATTACTACATTAATAGGGTATTATGATAATAATAAAATCTATTATTATTTAAAATAATATAAAAGTCAAAATACTTTTTGCAATTCTCATATATGAGGCGCCGTTTGTGTCAAAATTAAAAGTTTGTTTTATAAATAATTAATTATATGCTTTATAAAATTATTATTATTTTTGATTCGCAGAAAATTATTTTATAAAAAAATAATTTTATAAAGAAATAATTTTATAAAAAAAATAATTTTATAAAGAAATAATTTTATAAAAAAAAATAATTTTATAAAAAAATAATTTTATAAAAAAAAATAATTTTATAAAAAAAAATAATTTTATAAAAAAAATAATTTTATAAAAAATAATTTTATAAAAAAAATAATTTTATAAAAGACGACGGGCGCATTTATGAATTAATTTTTACTGCAGCCTATTTGTTTGTAGACACTCGAGTAAACCCGAGTGAACCCGAACGCCCCTCCCCTGATACAATTTTATGACGGACTGGGCTTTTGTTTTACGCAATTTGGGGAAACAATTGAAAATAATAATTTATTATTTTTATTAATTAATTAATTAATTTTTTTATCTACATTTATTTTGATTTTTAGTTTTTAACAAGAATTCTTTATGTTTAAACGTTTTTTATAAGAAAGCACTTTTAGTTAAATGCAAAACAAATAATGATTTACACCTTTAACTAATAATTAACTGTTAAAAGTGATTAAGTTACATTTTAAACATCTGAATTTTTAAAAGTAAATTAACTTAACCTTTAATTCGACTCCGAGACTCGCATGCCTTCCTCCTTTCTCCGTTCCTCCCGTAAAAGTTTATAGATTTAAACAAATAAATATTAGTTGAAGGTGTAAATCATTATTTGTTTTGCATTTAACTAAAAGTGCTTTCTTATAAAAAACGTTGAAACATAAAGAATTCTTGTTAAAAACTAAAAATCAAAATAAATGTAGATAAAAAATTAATTACTTAATTAATTAATAAAAATAATAAATTATTATTTTCAATCGTTTCCCCAAATTGCGTCAAACAAAAGCCCAGTCCGTCATAAAATTGTATCTGGGGAGGGGCGTTCGGGTTCACTCGGGTTTACTCGAGTGTCTACAAACAAATAGAGATGGCTGCAGTAAAAATTAATTTATAAATGCGCCCGTCGTCTTTTAGAAAATAATTTTTTTTATAAAATTATTTCTTTATAAAATAATTTTTTTATATTTATAAAAAAATTATTTTAAAATAATTTTTTTATAAAATATTTTTTTTTATAAAATTATTTTTTTATAAAATAATTTTCTGCGAATCAAAAATAATAATAATTATATATATAAAGCATATAATTAATTATTTATAAAACAAAATAAGTTTATTTAGCACTTTTAATTTTGACACAAACGGCGCCTCATACTCATAGATTGTAAAAAATTAATTT